GTTGGATTAATTAGTTAACCATTTAATTCTACCCATAACAGGTAGGGGGTTTTAGCAAACAATTCTCAACTCTATTCTTTTATTACAATTATTTCTACTTCATCTTTTAAGATAACCATCTTCCAAGGTGGCACAGAAGTAATATCATCAATAGTAAATAAAAATACAACAAATACTATTGAAAAGATGGTTGGTATTGTTTCTTTCCTCCACTTTATTGTATATGTTTTATAGTAATTTTTTAACAGTTGTTTTATTAAATTGCTAGAAGCAATTCAAGGTATCTGGCATGTCCCAAGAGCTGTAGAAACAATTTTTCCTTATTGGGCCTCAGATTTAGGCCCTCAAAAGCCCTGAGAGAAATGTAACCAATAAAATAAAGGTGACAGAGAAGTATAAGCCAGTATGTCAGGATTATTTTTTTTCAGTGCTGCTTTGCTCAGTTGTAGCTACTATACTTATTTTTGCTCCTTTATCTGTTTACAAGTGTGTGATTGTTACTTTTGGTCTACAGATCTATGCCTTATGTAGCTTATTTTTTAATAAAATAAAAACACCTCATTTTTTGTTATTCCAGTGTTAGGTTTGCTCTAGCAATAATCACACATTTCACAAATGTCTAAGCCAGTTTTTTATGCTGAGTCCTGGGACTGGGAAATCTGCTATTCTGCTCCATCCAAATTCCAGATGAGGGATTTCATCTCTAAAGAAAAACTACTGCCTGGGTGGAGCTCTATCATCCAGATATTGCTATACCTAAACACCCCAGAACTCAAGTAGAGAGATTAAGAGGGTAGAGATCCTAGGAAAGGATCTTTTGTGACATTTCCCCCCTCCCCTGCCCTGCAAATATGCAGCATCTGTTATATAGCTGCAAGTGTTAGATAGTGCAGGCAAAGAATGCATTTGGCAGACCATTTAATTGTATGAAAAATAATCTCAGTAATGGGACACAGTTGTATGAAAGAAAAACTTTAAACTGATGAGTCAAGTCTAGCCAGCCTCTTAATGATCGCTGCCACTTGTGGCTTAATTTAAAAGAAGCCTCAAGAATTCTGTCCCATATCTGAAAGGAAGTACTCAGAGGGGTTTAACTTTATCAAAAAGTGCCTGACCACCCAACGCACTACAGCACAACCAACACAAGCTATGAAAAGGATAACATTACCATACATCAAAAACATCTCAGAAACAACCAACAGTCTATTACAACCACACGGCAACACTGTAGCACACAAAGCAACTAAAGCCCTCCAAAACATCTTAAGTAAACCAAAAGACCCAGTAGTTCAAGAAGAAAAAACAGGAGTCATCTACAACATATGGTGCAAGGACTGTGACAGGCACTATGTAACAGGCAAAAGACTAGCACAGCGCATCCATGAACACCAAACTAGCAGTCAGAAGACATGATGAAAATTTAATCTCACAACACATGGACAGACTCAACTACAGTTTCAACTGGGAAACTGTGAGCATCCTAGATCAAGCCAAATCCAGAAACACTAGGGAATTCCTGGAAGCTTGCCATTCAGACAAATCAGCCATCAATAGGCACATAGAAATAAACCATATTTATACACCATTCAGAAGAGAACAAAAAGCTAAGAAGGAAACAAAAAGCTCAGAACACATCCCCCTCCAGCAGCCAACACCCAGATAAGCAGGGATTAACACCAGACAATCTAGCAATAAACAATACCCTAATCAAGGAACCACCTAGGAGAAAACCACACCCCCACCAACAATGGCAGAGCAAGCTACTGTATATAAACAGGGAGCAAACCCCATGCTCACTAGCACTGATGATATTACCTAGTTGGGTAATGAAATGTCTGCAAGTAAACAACCAAGCTCAGAAAGCACTAAGGACTCCACAGTTCAATCCTGAGCTGCATATATTCTCTTCTATGGGAGACTGTCTATCTTGTGCATGATTCCAGAATGTTAAGGATCCCCCTCCCCCATGCTGTTTAATTGTAAGACAGGCACCCGGGGATTTGGGGAGTTATAATCTGTATGCAAATAATACACATTTCTTTCTGTGAGCCAAAGTACAGTAGAAATATGGTGTGGATATGCTAATGGATTAGATAAATATAAACACACTTGAGACTCAGTTCAGACAAGATGGAGAACATGTTGAAGGTTGTTCTTCCTCTTGGATGAATAATCTTCATCCTGTTCTGGTTATGTATGCACTCCTCTGAAAGATTAAGTTTACAGTTTAAAGCTGGATTCACACACCACTTGCAGTTGGAAGACCTGAAAGACCAGGTTAGGGATAAATTGTCATGGAGAAAATCTACGTGGCCGCTAGGAATCAAAAATGTCTTGATGGCACATAATCAATCAATCAATCATTCAATCACCACTCTATCTTAAAATGTGGTTGGATAGTTTGTAACTGTCTTTTATGAACCTAGCCAATGTGGTTAACTATGGGACGGCATGTTGTGTGAATATGGGCTGAGCATGTTTTTGAATCTAACATAATTAGAGTTTCACATAACATTTGTGAATCTAATAACCTTCCATTTAAACTATTACAAGGAGTTTTATGCCGGATTATCTTTAATAATAGTTCAGAAGTTGCAGCTTGTTAAAAACAAAGCTTGAATATTGTTGTACTTCACTAATTTTATAGGATTCCAATCTGTTTGCAGACTCAATTTAAAGTGCTTCTATCTGTATTTAAAACCTTGGGATCGGGTTATCTCACAGGTTTTCTTTTCCCATAGATATTCCCTCAAACTTCAAATCTTTTTAGGTGCCAAGTTCATTTGCATGAGTATTAATAAGAGGGCATTTTCAACTATAAATGTCTCCTTTTAGAGATAACCATCTGGGCCCTTTATTGTCTAAACTATATGTACTTTCCCTAGAAAAAAATTATGCTGCATAATTTTCTGTTCATTTATGCTTAGCATTATTTTATATTATGACAAAACTGGTATTTGATCTGGATTTCAGATAAATAAATAACAAGAAAGATTGGGGCAATCTAAATCACTACTTACTGGATCATTCATAGGTTACTTGGCATTACAGGAGCAACCAATAAAACAATAAACAGCCTATCCGAAGACCAAGACTCTGAGAAAAGGAAGTTGTGCACGGGACTGATACTGGAAGAACTGAAAGTATAAGGAAGACTGGCTTTTGTCCCTTTTTGATTCATCAAAAAAATTCTAAGTGTAGAATGAAGCTACTTTTATTAAGGACTCCATAACCATATGAGACTCAATTATACGAATTCATATAAAGGATGCCTTAAAAAACCAACAGTGTGTTTAGAAGCTTTTGGCTGCACCTCTTACTCTTCGCATATATAGGACAAGTAGTAATAACGTCATTAAAACTTCTGCCCTGCAAATATTCCACCCTGCCTCATAACTTCTGGGCAATCTTGTGGAACAGAGTAGTTAAAATATTTTATATTCACCACTCTCTGTGAGATATTACACACTACTGTACTATTTACTCTTGTTTAGCCATATGTGGAGAGTCCACAAAGGTAATAGACCAAAAAAAAAAAAAAAAAGAAAAGAAAAGATGAAAATATCCACTTTTCTGTATAATTATTTAATGGAACAGGCAGCTAATGACATCTGCTCTTGGTGCTGCAATTTGGAAAGAAGCTCCACTGATGCAAGAAACGGTGAACTGGAAATACATTTGTTTAAAATATCCTGTATAAAAATAATGTTCATAGGGGTTGAAAAGATACTAGTGATCATAGGCACTCTCTCCACTATTATTGCATGCTCAGGATAAGTTTTTGCAAGAGTTTAGAAATTCCTAAAGTGCTATAGTCTAAATATATGCATATGTAAAGGTATAGAGAAGCTGTGAAAAATATACATTTCTAATCAGTTTGACAACTTTTTGCCAGAAGTTGAATATCATTACTGTTATGAATCTGGATACATCTCCAAGGATGAAGGACTGGCATCCACAGACAAAACATGAAATCAGATTCAAAGACCCAGGAGACAACGGAAAACAACTGTGGTGGATGACCGAAGAATTTGTTCCCTGGT